GGGGGGGCTTGTAAGCCCCCCCATGTGATAGCAGTCAAAGTAAAGTAAAAAAAACAAAAAAAAACAGTTTAAATTAAAATCAAAATAAATCTAAATTAAAAAAAATTGTAAAAGTCCCCCGCACGTCACCACGTAAACACGCGTCGGGTGCGCCTACGTATGAAAACGACGAACGCGCTACACGTTGGGTATCACCGCGCACGCCAGAGTGAGAGCAATAATTCTAGGGCCAGTATTTTGGGGTATCTCTAAATTGATGACCTGTGGGGGCTTTTAAAGTGTCTTCTGTGGACTTTTTGGGGTACTGCAGTTTTTCGCCATTTCACGGACGCACACAATTTGTAAACTGGGCATGTTGGGTATCGTTTTACTCGTTGTAACCTCGTCTTTTATATTACATTTAAAAAAATGGGTATTTTGTTGTGTTTTGGGGCATTTAATTAAATTTATCACAAAATTTTGGGGTTTAATAAGGAGTTGCGCTAATATTGCGCAACATAAAAATTTGCAACTACCACCATTATATTTTATAGGGTCTTGGCATTCATTCAAATATATAATGTGTGGGGGTTTTAAGTAATTTTCAGGCCTAAAATGTGGAATATAACATGGGTGCAAAAAATGAAAAACAAAAAAAGGCCTCAGTCATGAAGGGGTTAAAGGGAATGTATAGTAAGCATATATTTTGTTTACCTTAAAACAATTTTTGCTGCAAGATTAATATTTTTACATACCTGCTCCTCCCCCAGATACACCCTAAATGCTCCCACCTTTAAAATCTCTGCATACATACCTTTGGTCCAGTCACATGAAATCATGAATAAGCCACCCATTAGAGTGGCTTAATGATGTACAACCAGGGGGTGGGTCCCTATCGCCCAGTGATCATGGAAGTGGGATGAATTATGACAGGCATTATTTAGCCCAAAAACCGTGCACTAGATCGTAGAGTAATGCGTCTGTTGGAGACCGTGCCAGAGAAAAAAACCCAAAAAATATTACATTTGGGTGAGACACATAACCAGATACCCTACCAATATTTCACATCATAGCTTCTTTCAATGGGTGTTCTGTCCATATTTAGAACAGATCTAAAATGGCCTCACAGGGGGTAATACAGCATTTAAGCAATGCCAGGGCAGTCCTACTTGCTGTACTGACAGCTCAATCTCCCACAGAGTCTAATAAAACACACAGTTAGGCTCACCTTCACCCACTGGTCTGAGGTCACTCCTTCTAGTACAACTGTCATCTCTGGCTTGTCCATAAGTAATCTTAACTTAGCAGAAGCCGGGGATTCACTGGTGCAGATGCTGATCGGTACCATCCACTGAGGACTCTCCTCACCTGAGCGAGGGCAATAGGAGGATGTTATATGGAGAGAAGGGCTGGAGGCTTACCCGCCAACCTATCGTCGGGAGAATAAAGGAGATAAGAGAAATAGGAAGAAAGAAAGGTAGGATAGCTTTGAGCTGCTCCAGAAAAGCATAAGAGAGACTATAATGACAGTATTGTGCCTGTAAAAGCACAATATTGTTGGCAACCTACAATCAGGTCACTCAATGATTGCAGACCACGATTAGGGTCACTCAAAGCCCAGGGGTGGCCACTCAAAAAAACATAGCAGGCTTGGTCTTACCATGGTGAGGACCACTGGCACAAAACTTCTTCTGAGACAGCTTTAAGATCCTGGAGTCTTCCTTCTGGAAAAAAAAAAAGTTCACAGGTGTTCAGTTTATAATACTGTACTATGATCTAAGTACTTAGAATGTTTTTAAAATGAACAAAATTATCAAAGAACAGAAATCTATTGAAGAATGGCCTAGACAGCTAAATTACCTTTTCTGACTCCGCATATATTAAGGGGAAACCCATCTGTTTGGTCCAGGTGCTCATTACAGCAGCAATTGGCTTCCCACTGGCTTGTTCTAGAGATTCCCATAGATCCTCTGCAGAAAAGAGTACTCAGTTTACAGCTGTGCCAGAGGGAGCTGAGAGGAAGGGAAAAGGGAATGTAGGTTTGGGTGGTAGCATCACAACCATCGCAAATAGGGTTAAAAAAAGACAATACAGTAATGTGAAGTACCTGTGGCAGCATTCTTTTCCTGGAATTTAGTGAGGTATTGATTCATGCCCCTTCGAAAATCCTGCACAGATGAGGTAAAAAAATTTTGTTTTTTTTCCATTACCTGTATAACATTAAATACAGTCCGACGACAAAAAATGAGGTTGGGCTGAACCTTAAGGAGTCACTGCCTTTAGCGATAAGCTTTCAGCATTAATATATGGAAGGATTGCTAGTAATTACAAACATCTGACAGTAGCGGTTATTGAAGCGTACCTGTTGCAAGAAAAATACCTGGACTGTAATTGCTGCTGACCTTCTGACAAGCAAGTTGAAAGGTTGTCGCTGACCTGGTAAAAGTTTGCAACAAGTCAGAACTCTGTTCTGCATACTAGTTCTGGGTTAATGACTAGCAATGAAGTTAGAGGATCAGCATAAGAGACAACTATCATTTTCAGAAGGTCAGCAATGGCAGCCACATTTTTCCATGACCAATTTCCTATTGAAAACAAAAGATTTGTTTTTAAATCCACACATACAAAACATATACACATACACACATTGTATGTCCTATATATGTATGGTGAATGCATGGCGCTCATCCAGAAAAATATACATGCATATCCAAAATAGGTAAAGGGGCACTTATGAGTCTTGCAGTGCAGATAAGTTAAAGTTTCAGCATTTTATGGTCAACTTTTCAATGGAGCTCATTCGGTCTTTAACAAGACACTGGCCTTGACATATATACACCTACTTTACATACTACACTGTGTGTACAATTATTAGGCAAGTGAGTATTTTGACCAAATCACCATTTATGCATATTGTCCAACTCCAAGCTGTATAAGCTTGAAGGCTTATTGGATTTAAGCAAATCACGTGATGTGCATTTGTGAGGGAGGGTGTGGCCTTAGGAGACCAACAACCAATATCAAGGTGTGCATAATAATTAGGCAGCTTCTTTTCCTCAGGCAAAATGGGCCAAAAAAGAGATTTAGCGAACTGAAAAGTCAAAAATTATTAAAAAAAGTATTTCCAAGGGATGCAGCACTCTTGAAATTGCTAGTTATTGGGGTGTGATCACCGAACCATCAAACTTTTTGTTGCAAATAGTCAACAGGTCGCAAGAAATGTGTTGAGAAAGAAAGACGCAAAATAACTGCCACAGATTTGAGAAGAATCAAATGTGAAACTACCAGGAACCCATTATCCTCCAGTGCTATCATATTCCAGAACTGCAACCTACCTGGAGTGCCCAGAGACATGGCCAAGGTAAGGAAGGCTGAAACCCGACCACCAGTGAACAAGACAAGTTGAAATGTCAAGACCAGGCATTGAAATATCTGAAGACAGATTTTTCAAAGCTTTTATGGACTGATGAGATGAGAGTGACTCTTGATGGACCAGATGGATGGGCCCGTAGCTGGATCAGTAACGGGCATAGAGCTCCACTTCGACTCAAATGCCAGCAAGGTGGAGGTGGGGTACTGGTGGGCTGGTATTATAAAGATGAGCTAGTTGGACCTTTTCGGGTTGAAGATGGACTCAAAATCAACTCCCAAACCTACTGCCAGTTTTAAGAAGACACTTTCTTCAAGCAGTGGTACAGGAAAAAGTCTGCATCTTTCAAGAACCATGATATTTATGCAGGACAATACTCCATCGCATGCATCAAAGTACTCCACTGTGTGGCTAGCTAGTAAAGGCCATAAAGATGAAAGAATAATGACATGGCCCCCTTCCTCACCTGACCTAAACACTATTGAGCCCTTCTTAAACGGGAGATTTACGGTGAAGGAAAACAGAACACCTCTCTGAACAGTGTCTGGGAGGCTGTGGGTGCTGCTGCACAAAAAGTTGATCGTCAACAGATCAAGAAACTGACAGACTCCATGGATGGAAGGCTGATGACTTATTGAAAAGGGGGCAATATTGGTCACTGATTTTGTTTTTGAAAATGTCAGAAATGTTGTATCTGTAAATTTTGAGTTGTTTCTTTATTATTCTCACTAACAGATGAAAAGCAAATGAGATAAGAAAATATTCCTTTTCCATTTAGTTGCATAATAATCCTGCACACAGACATTCTCCTCACTTTTACTTTCTTAAATATTCAGGTTTGAGGTTTATTAACATTTTGGATTGACCGAGAGCAGTGTAGTTCAATAATGAAATCAATCCTCAATACAACTTGTCTAATAATTGTGCACACATGGTACACCAAATTTACAATTTAATAACATTGGTCTGGATATAATATTTATAACTTGGCCCAACCTTTTGAGACTTTGCATTTATTGTGGTAAGCTTGTTCATCTATTATTCCACCAAAATGGTTGCTCGTTAAGTAGTCTGCTGATTATTATTAGCGTTTTTGGTTTTTCCCAGGTTTTCATAGGTGTTGTTGACAAACTCAAGGAATGTTGAAAACGTTTTTGTTGTAAATTGTCATCACAAATACAAAAACAGCAATTTACCTCATCTCCAATGTAATCGTGGAGCATACGGATCACTGATGCGCCTTTGCTGTATGATATGGCATCAAATATTTCATCTACTTCAGAGGGGTGTCCCACACTGACCTACACACAGAAAGTAAAGTATGTAGGGACATAACCTGATAACTACATATTACAATTTAGTTTAGTTGTAAACGCCCTAAAAAATAAATAATGACTTCCACTACAGAGAAACCAAGTACATAATCTGGTTTACACCAAATAAACCTGACTTCTACTAGAGATGAAAAAACCCCCCAGCATAATGCAGTTTAGCGGTCGAAGACCTTTTCGTTGTTAGTTACTTTAATCAAGCACAAAAGCAGCACACATTTTAATTGATAACATATCTGAAAATATAACAATTTTTTTACTCGTACCAAAACAAAAAACCTTTTTTGGTATTCATTGAGGAACACACCACCATAGATTAATATACATGCGGGTATATTGCCACCTACAGGAGGGTTGGGCACTAAGTGAAAACAAAAAAAAGGGGTCAACTCTAATGCCCCCTTCACACCTAAGCTGTTTGTCACACACAAATCAGTGCAACAAACAGCTCAACACTAGAAGTCCCATTCGTGTCTATGACACCAGTGCACATGTCAGCGTTTTGTCGCAAGCAGAAATACACCTGTGGCACAAAATACTACATGAGCTACTTTGGGGCTGATTTCAGCGCGTGTTTTCCTACAGACTCAATAGAAAATTGTGTGCTGTGGTGGTGGGGCAGTGATCCAGGTGTCACTGTAGTCCTGGAATCGCTGGACCCTGATCCCTGCACACTTTCTGCCCGAGGACTCAGGAAGGACTCAGGATAGAAGTGTCCTGCAATAGGGGCAAATGTCCTTTGCAAAATGGCAGCAGGAAGAATGCAAAAATAGCCAGAGACAATCTAGAAGAACAAGGTCTTAGCTGCAAATTTAAAAAAATAGGCTGACAAAAGCTTTACACACTTCTAGGATGAGTGAAAGCAGAGAAATACAACCTGCTACTGCAATGTTAAGTTTTCAGAGCCAGCCTGGGAACCAAGTTTGATAGCTCTGGAACCTGGAGAGAACTTTTAAAGTAATTTTACAGAATTGAGCCTGGCATGACACAGGCTGCAACAGCTTCAGCAGTACAAGCACTACTCAGGTAGACCTCAGGCTGTCGCAGTAAAATGTCCAATTTTCAGGTAACCAGGAAGACATTGCGCTCATTGGCTGATTGCAGTGACAAGCCATGATATCAAGATATGGCATGAAATTACTTTGCACTGCTTGATGGAAGAAATCCACACACAAGAAGAGCTGTCCTACTTCCTTAGAACACCAAGCTAAACTGATATAGCATGTACAGGGGTATAACAACTAGAAGAAACTATACCCTTTTTAATTTGTGTAATAGTGTGCAATCCTCTTGTAGGGGGCAATATACTGACATGTATATACATTTACTGTGCCGAGTCACTTAATGCACAAAGAAAAATAAGAATTTTGTACTTACCATAAAATGTATTTCTTGAAGTCCATTGGGGAATACAGGAATTGACAATTTTTTAGACATTTGGGTTATTGTGACACAATTGGTTATTTTGGAGGTTGGGATACTGGCAAATACAAGTTTTGTACAGTACATACAGCCAATAGCATGGTTGGGGGTGAGCTCCCAGTAATGATTCGAGGAATACTCTTTTCCAGCCTAACCAGAATTTGGCAAATTAGCAGGACTTCTTGGCTTAGCACGAACTGTGGAAATTTAGGTAACACACTTTTCAGTGACGGTATTTTAAGCAACGAGGTGGCCAGGAAAAAGGCTCTAGGGTGAACATGAGACAGGGCGTCTCTCTTGTCCTCACTGGTGACATCAGCATGTACCGCTCGTTCTATGCATTTCCTCAATTGACTTTCTCTTTTGGGACGGCGTTCGTGCCGACGTCACAAGACAGGACAAGAGAGATGCCGGCCGTAGTCAAAAAGGACGGTGTATGAAACAAATTACAAGTGGTTTTTATGCAAGTGCATTTTAATGGTTTTAATAAGATGTTTTAACTGGTTACATCATGGGAAGTATTTATGCATCTCTGAGCCTTGATGGATTGGATGAGTAGATGCTTGATAGAGAGCAGTGAAGTCGGTGGGGAGTGGCACCATCTATACACAGAGAGAAACAGCAAGCGGAATCCGAACAGTGAAGTGACAGCGGAGTGGGGCTGAATATGCTTCTCGGTTTTTAGGTAAGGTGCATAAAGTATATCTATAATATGATGGCCGAGTTAATCCAGTGAGTGCGGAAGAGGATTTGATACACTAGAGTGGTGTGTGAGCACGTTTGAAGCGAAGATCATGATTTATTTGGGAGTAGACTTTGTCATTCTGTTTTACCTTTATTAAGGAGGACTTCATCACGATTAATTTATGTTGTGTTTAGGCTGTTTTTTTAGACGCACAAGTCAAATAAGTGTTTAATGCAAATCAGAAGGTCTTAGAGGAAAGGTAGATAATGTAATACTGAGTATTAGATACAGTAGATCACTCTATTGGAATATACACACAAAGCACAGTGCATCTTTTTCAGAATTTCTAGCCGTTTGTGTCCAGTTACTGGACCATTCTGTCCATAGGAGGTTCTACATGCGCTCTGGCACCATCACTGATGGAGTCGGTCTCTGACCCTCCCGAGACTGAGCTGGATTAAAATTTAGATCTCCAAGGACAGGAGAGGCTTTTTTGTGCCACCGCAGTCTAATGCAGTTGACTAATATATAAGGGGTTGTTTTCAAACATTAATTTTGATGCAGTGTGTGTGTGTGTCCCTTTTTTGGCAATCAGCCTGCTTATACACTGAGTGGCCAGTTTATTATGGCCACCTGACATGTGTAGGAAAATTAGCGATAATTTTGCGCTGAAGTTGCTAGAGGGCCAGACCATTATAAATAGGGAAGCAGGTTGTTTACCACGACAGAAGAAGTGATTTTTTCTGAAGATATGGGTAAACAACGCAATTTAACAGCCTTTGAACGTGGGATGATTGTTGGCGCCGAGCCATGGAGCGAGTATCAGCAAAACAGCAGAATTCATTAAATGTTCAAGAGCAGCTTTTGTTAAAGTGTTTAAAGACTGGACTGTCAGCTGAAAATCTGGGTCTGAACTTGAGAATTGTGGCCGTCAGCGACTAGGCATGTTAGGGCAGAACGGAGAGTGGCAAGACTGGTACAAGACAACAGAAGGGCAACAGTGCAGTGTCAGATTCCTCGCATCACCTTTCAACATCACGAGGCGGCCCAACGAAGTACTGATGGGGTGGTCATAATAATCTGGCCACTCATACTGCAAGGACAACAAATAGAAATTAAAGTTTTGCCAAGCTTTACAGCTGGGCTCGTCCTTGGGATAAGCTTGACGTCTCTGGGATTTGTAGTCCAGAGCATTACAAGTGCTTGGGTCTTTTAGAACTATGCCAAGACCTTCCCACTACTCCTGCTGTTTTAGGACTGCAAACACCCATAAGGGTTCTGAGCCCCAGCTAAGATTTTCCCTTTTAAAGACATGATTCACCAATAGGTGGTCCATGTCCAGTGTGGATGTTACAGTGATCCACGTTAACAGATATAACCGGTTTGGCCCTTTGTCCTGCACTGGCAGGAACTCTAATCTGTCTAACCATGTCAGAATGGAATAAACTCTGCAGAGAAGCTCCTTCCACCACTGGGGTAGGCCCTATGTTATGGTGGGGCTGTAGCAGATGTCTGAAGACCTTTGCTATAGCGGTAACAGTTTGTGACAAGCCTCTGAACTTATGTTCCATATGGAAACAATGTCTGTACAAATGTGTGTGTGGTTACGTTCGTCGGACACAGATAAGACATCCAAAGATTTGTCTCCAATTAGAGGAATGTAATCTCTTTGGACCGGCTTTTGACAACGTCATTAGCAACACCTTTTGCGGCCACAGTATGCTTCTACTAGAGTGCGGGAGATCTGTGGAAAGGTCAATGGGACCCTGTCCCTCTACCTCTTCTGCCTCAGATGCGGAGGATCTGCAAGTACACACTGCTAACTCCTATTCAGAGTGTAGGTCCAGGAGCCAAAAATCGGTTAAGTCCTCTGGTGTCACTAAGGTGCTGTAAGACCTTGACCCCCAGTAAGGCTGTGACCTTTTTGCCTTCTATGCCTCTCTATCCTGTAGTCTATTCAAGGAACAAAAGATTTGTGCACTTCTGTGTGCTTCATCTCCTGCATGGCAGGAAGAAATTGCTGGGAGAGTTGGCATTCCCTTGGATTATCAGTGGACAACTCATGCTGCAACCCTGCCGCACACTCTTCCCAAGGTAGAGAGCAAGTGTCCGGGGGTCTACATGGGATCTGATTTTTTTTAAGTCAGGTCCTCCTACTGTGACCAATTTGCACCCTCCATCGAAAATTCCTAAAAATATCTTTAGGGCTGCAACAACTAATCGACATAATCGATTATAATCGATTATTGAAAAAGTTGTCAACTTTTTCAATAATCGATTAATCGGCTTCCGATCAGTTGGCCCTGTTCACAGCTCCACACGAACCTGCTTATGTCCTTGCAGGTGATCATTATTACCCCTTTTCTAAGCTTTCCGCCCCTCGCTCCATGGCTGAAGATGCATAACTGGATTGGGGTGGGTCAGAAGACTTGCAGTCCCAAGTCCAGGATGAGGCAGGCAGGCGGGCTATGCAGGGGGTTTCCCTCCGTCAGGTTCTAATGACATCACCAGGTCGTCTTGTTCTACGGTTTTCTGGTGTTGCTGCACCACTGTGGAGTGTTTGGCTTCCCACTCCTGTCTATTTTGGTAGGGGTTATTTCGATGCTTAAAGGCGGAAGTGATGTGTATTCCATCACTTCCACCTTTAACTGTTGTTTCTCTGGCTAGTGCTCTGCTTTATCAGCTTCTTTGCGGGTCCCCAGGTGACACTAGGGGTCTTAGAGACCCCTGATGTCTCCATAAAGCGGACCGGTCATTGTATATTTGCTATCACATAGGGGACTTGTTATCCCCCTATGCGATAGCAAAAAAGTGTACAAAAAGAAAAAATTAGTCACGTGCATGCACGCACATATAAACGTAAATTCGTGTCGGGTGTGCCTACGTGTGAAAACAAGGATTACACCGCGCATGTTACATATCACTGCGGTCGTCAGAGTGCGATCAATCACTGCTAAAACTAAATTGATAAAAGCTTTTAAAGGGTTGCCTATTGCCAATTGTAGCTATGGTATTTTTTTGCGATTTTGAGGGCGCACAATTTTAAACTTTGACACGTTTGGTGCCTATTTACCCGACATGACCCCATCTTTTATTTTTTACCAAAAATTTGGGTTATAATAAATGTTTTATAACATAAGGAAAACTGTGGGGGTTCAAAAGGTTTGGTACTTTTTTCATTATTATAGTAAGAAATAAAAACCACAGTGATGATTAACCCCAAAAAATGGTATAAAATTAATTTCAATACAGCGTTCCATGAATGAATAAATGTCAAAGTACTGCAGCATTAAATACTGAAAAATGGCCTGGACAGGAAGGGGGTTGAAGGGGGACATCAAGTGGTTAAAGTCCATTTCCACCTTTATAAGTGATTAGCATTTCATGTGGTAATGCAGGGGGTGCAGTGATGTGCACATTTTCATGACTCGCATTACAGGCTCTCTTTTTTTAATGAACATTAGGACTACAAATACCAATTTTTTTCTTCCACAGAAAATTCAGTCTGACACGGGTCGTATTGTAAAACAGGCTGTAAACAGCTGCCATCCTTTCTTTCATTCTGTGTAACATGATCAGTAAACATCAGCTCTGCCTTTGCACACAATGCACGGTCCAGGGGGGTTGCCACTACGAATATTAATGAATGAGGGGGTGGAGAGCTCCGTTGTAATGTATACAAACTGCTTGCAAAACACATAGGCAGCCATTTCCATGAGGAGATGAAGAGGAAAGCCAACAAAAAAGTAAGCTTCTGTGTTTATATACAGCTATTGCATATGCTTGCTTCATGTTCATTCGGTGTACATTGCTGGCATATGTTGTTTTTAAAAATACCTCCGCAAAAGGTGGAAATGGGCTTTAAGGCTTTTGTCCTGGCTGGTCTTACTTTGTAGACCTGTCGTTCAATCTTCCCTTAAGGGTCTTTTTTTCGAGGCTTGGATACCTCCCAATGTTTTCCTTTGTTAACCATTCTTGTTGGTATGTCCTGTTACCATTCAGGTAGTTATATGCTCCACCTCTTGGTGGGTGCTTTGGCTCACAGTTTCTGCTGGTATGGACTCCTGTGTCCTTGGAGGTAGTCATTCCCCTTTGCAGTGATTCTTGCCCTAGTCCTAGCATCAGGTTGACCCTCTGACCTCCGCTGGGTCATTCCCGTCTTGTAGGGAACTTTTCCGGTTCAAATTTGGGCATAGGTCCTTTTGGTTATTGCAGATAGCGCCAGTTTTTTTCTTGGATCCATCCGTGGCTGTAACCCACCCCTTGGTTGGACATCCAAAATGTGTAAGAACTACTACATTCCTGTGTCCCACAATGAACAATAAGGAAAATTAGATTTTTGTACATACTGTACAGTAAAATCTTATTTTTGAAGTCTGTTGAGACACTGGTCCCACCCCTTTGATTATTGGCCTTAATTACTGCTAGATCACAAAACCCAGGCATGATGATTAAGTGCGGGTTTACATAGCCTTCAACTGTTTTTTCTTCTGGTTTGTCAGTGTCCAAACCTCCGATAGGCAGCAGCACACAACACAAATGTCTAAGATTTACCACACTTCTGTTATCTCTCAAAGGACTACAAGAAGATTTTGGTCCAAAACACTTTTGTACAAAAAACACTGCCACCACAGCTACTCTTATATTGAAGTAGGAGTGGGTCTTCTGTGGTCAAGTAATCCTGAAAGTAATCTTCTATTGGCAGTAGTACATTTATCAGAATATGGACCCAAGCTGGTAAAGCTCTTGGGTGGAGACACAAAAAAACCCCAAGAAAACTGTCATTGGCACCACAATAGTAAACACCACCAGGTGCTCACACATCAGACAGTTCTTTTTAGCGCAAGGTTTCCCCTGTTCTGTTAAGCAAATATGGACCAGCTTCCCAGGCAGAGAGGCTGGCCCCACCCTTCCTAACTCCTGAGCCTCATTACTGGCCCACCAGTCAAACTAAACAAGCTTAGGAAGGATGTGGCTACTGGTCAGTCTCTCAAATAGAAAAGTTTGCCAATATTTCCATAACCAGGGTTTCCAGACATTCAAGGCGCAATGGGGCTGAATAAAAGAACTGACCTGATATTGCAGACATCTGGAAGTGCCTGGAATGAGTTACCAAAGGTGGTTTAGGCAAGCTTTTGAACTTCAGGTTCACCTTAAGGTTGGTTTGAAAAGACGCTCTTGTAACCAATGTGTCATCTTGATACAAATGTCTGCAAGAAGAACTCTGTATTAGAAGTATCTAAACTGAGAAACTGATTTTAAAAAAACCTGGGTGGTGAGCAATTTCTAAATATTTTTTACTAACCCCAGCAATTACACATCCGCTCAGCATCAGAATGAGCTTTTAGCAGTCTGGGTTTATGGGCCTTGTGTGAAATTGCTTGGGGCCAGGGAAACACAAGGACAAATTCAGAAGGAGCTTTCTACTTTTTGACCTTGTACCATTCTTTCTAGTGGCAGGGCTAAAACCCCAATGAACATCAGTGCCCCAAAAAGGTTTTGGAGGTATCACCTTGATACATAATACCCATCTTGATCTGTTTCGTATAATCAGTCTTTGCAAAACATAAAACAATACAGAGTTCTTCTTTCAGACACTTCTACAGATGTGGTAAGCTGTTACCAAGAATGGTATTTTGTAGACAGAGTGAATTCACGTTAATAAGAAATGAAACCTCTATCGGATGGCTGTTATCCAGTGCATCCAGTTCTTGAGCACGAGTGTAATCTGCCGAAACAAACTGTGTCCATATGTCATATTCTGGGAAGCAGTGATCCACGCAGAGGTATTCAATCCAGGAAGCAAAACCTTCATTCAGCCATAAATGGGTCCACCATTCCTGCCAAAAAGAGATTGAATATAACAAATATTAAACAATTTTGAGACCCCTGCCTGCAGCCAACAAAAAACCTTGTAATTGACCTGCAACACTGTTCATATGAGGTGCATATCAAAGAGGAAGGATGTAATTGAGGATATAACAGACGAGTGCCCTAAAATCTGTGGATTTAAAATTAATTTTCAAGAGAAGCTGATTGGTTCCTATGCACATCTGCTCGTTTTTGTCTGCTCCAGTTTTGATAAATTCCCCTCAGTGTTTGCCCCCCTTGTCCCAATACCCTGTTGTGGTTCTCTTTGTCGAGAGTAAAGTAAGCTGTGAGATGTTTCAGATAACAGAACTGTTATTTAACAACTAAACAAAGAGCGCCGAAGCCAGGGCGGATCCTGACAATACTGTCGAAATCCACCCAACTGGATGATTGACAGCGGGATCTGCCTCTCTAGAGGCAGAGCCAGCTGTGCCCGCCTCTCCCCTCTCCTTTCGTCAGTGCTGGAAAATCGGAGCAGGAGGTGGAGAATCCTTGCGGGGAGCGGTGACTGTCACTGCTTTCTGCAGGGAGTTGATCGCAAAGTGAGTTGATTGTCCAACATCACCAGAATTAGTTTCAACAGTCTAGAGTGAAACTGGACATACTGAACTGCTTTGAAAGAGGCCACCACTGAACTAAGGATTGTCATGCAAAATCAGAGGGTCAGTTGGCTCCTGGGCTGTATCGTCTAAACATGGATGCCAAGCGTTTGGAGCTTTACCTGTGGAAGAAAGCCATGCCCGCCTCTCCCCTCTCCTTTCGTCAGTGCTGGAAAATCGGAGCAGGAGGTGGAGAATCCTTGCGGGGAGCGGTGACTGTCACTGCTTTCTGCAGGGAGTTGATCGCAAAGTGAGTTGATTGTCCAACATCACCAGAATTAGTTTCAACAGTCTAGAGTGAAACTGGACATACTGAACTGCTTTGAAAGAGGCCACCACTGAACTAAGGATTGTCATGCAAAATCAGAGGGTCAGTTGGCTCCTGGGCTGTATCGTCTAAACATGGATGCCAAGCGTTTGGAGCTTTACCTGTGGAAGAAAGCCTGGACGGTCAAGAATCCAGGAGAACACCTAGGTACTCAAAATTATGAATTGGTTCCATTGCTGACTTCTAGAGGTTAATAATCCACCCAAACCTCTGTAGAGTTTTAACAGCTTCATGGACATCGATTGAAAGTCTGTGCCAACTGTTACCATGGTGTCTAGCTATCCCAATATATTAAAAGTCCTGAGAGGGAAGCAGAGCAAGTGCAGGGGCTAGTACTGTTGTGAAAACCTGGGGAGCAGTGGGTAAAAATCATGCAACCTTTCCTTTTCCGCAACAATAGCTATGACTCCTTGAGAAAGGAGTTGAGTCAGTGGGGTGGAGGCGAAGTTTGAAATATCAGGTTTTTGCTAGATACCACATTCTGGACCCAAATGTCTGAAATGTCTTGGGATCAGGTGACCACAAAAGCCAACAGATGATTCTACCACACATTCCCCATTGAGGGGAAGACTTGCTCAGATTTGTAGGATTTGGTAGTCCAGGATTTACAGCAGAACTGCATGCTAGGCTTTGCACTAGACTTGGAGAAACAAAAATAACTATTCCCAGCCTCTGAAATAGAGGGTTTTTCAGACTGAGACTTCACTTTCTTTGCTGGAGCAAGAGGGTGTTCTTTCCCCCCAGAGGACATTTTTGATAAAGTTGTCCAGGAATTTGCCAAAGAGGCATTCCCCGTCAAAAGGCATACCCAATATTTTACAAATTGTCCAAAATGTACCCAGCTGGCCTGTTGCTTTAAGGTGAGACAGTTTAAATAAAATATTATGGTTTATTTTGATTCAGTATTAAAAACTCATGTGGAGGATTCATCTTCATTTGGTAACCTCAGCCATTTTTAAACTGCTCTGGGAATCAGCGGCTCCTGCAGGTCCCAGCAGGGGTGCAAGCAGGAACCACTAGCTGTCAACGACAGCTGGCATCCAGCACCAAGACCTGGAGCTGAAATCAGTTCCAGGGCTTGAGGTGCTTCTAAAGCTCACTCCACAAGGGCATGCTGTAGAAACAAATGTAAACACTATGCTTCTGCATAGTGTTTACATCGGAAGTGTATTGATGACAAGAATTACATCAAAGCATTCTCTGTAAATATGGAGGCTCAGGCAGAGCTCTGTCCACCCTATCCTTACTGCAGTAGATCACTGCTAAAGTGACCTATTGCGGTCTGATTGCAGGCAGCAGAAAATCACTATTAAAAGTAATGGATTTTTCAGGCACAGACAGGAAATTGGCAGAGACGGTGGGTCTGCTCATCTAAGTACAAACAGACCAAACTGGTTTTTTTTATAATTGTATGGCTGCCCTGTATTTCCCCATTATTTATATCCAGCTTACTCACAATGGAATACGATTATAGGAAACTTTACATAAGCTCCACGCCTAGGCTGGTCAAGGCTTTTTTGGATTCTCTGGCACCTCATTGACTATTGATGGCAATTTATGATGCAATATTGCAACTTAGAGGTGAGAAAATGAAATACATCTTGCATAGTTTAAGAGGCAACACCCACAGGTGGGCTGCCAAATTTTCTTTAAAAAAGCCAGCAGCTTAAAGGTGAACTTGGGACTTCACAAATGGAACTCTGACCGAGAGGAGGATGTCACTGAAACAAAGGACTTTCAGAGAGACTAGAACTAGAAGCTATTTTCCTGCGAACGCTTAATTGCCATGAAGTCCTGTTCAGATACGGAATTTGCAACTGGAAGCTAAGTACCTTTTAGTGTACCCTACTATTGAAACTATTACATGTACTAGAAAGGATAGTCTAGTGCAGCGGTGGCGAACCTATGGCACGCATGCCACAGAGGGCACGCAGAGGTCCCTCTGGTGGCACGCGAGCCTAGGTCCCGGTTACAGTGACCCGCACACTCCAGGTGCAGGTCGCGGCGGCCATCTTTAAACCTGGCAGGTGCCCAGATTCTATTTAATATATTGCCGAACCAACAATATAATAAATTAGGGGTGCCCATTATGTCGACCGCGATCTACCATTGATCGCAAAGCAATCCCTGGTAGATTGCGATGCCCTGTCCTCCAGACGTGAGGCTTCTCTGGATCCCCGCTGCTCTCCCCCATCTCTATGCAGCGGGGATCCGAGAAGTGAACGAGGCACTGCAGGCAGCGGCGGGGGTCGGAGCCGCTATCATCAGCAGCACGCCGAGCGGTGAGGAGAGAGAGAGAGATGCTCGGCCTGGATCTGACAGCCAGCGGCTCTCTCTCTCTCTCCTCACCGCACATGCTGCTGTGACAACGGCTCCGTCCTCCGACTATTTTGCCTAAGGCAGTGATGTTAAATGTTTTTTAAAGCCCAGCGCCCAAACGGCAATACAATACTATACTTATTTTCAGCGCTGACACTTTGAGATAAATAAATTGATTTTGCGTCGCAGTTTGGGCACTCGGGTTCAAAAACGTTTGCCATCACTGGTCTAGTGGGTGCATTTGTATGTATGTTTGTAGTAGCCTGTATGTGTAGCCTGCATTTTTGCATAGTAAAGTATGTTCAATACTACTGGGGTCCGTTTTCTTGAGCTTTACTGCAAGAACCAGACAACAAATATAAGTGAAAGGTCTACCATTTCACACAAGTAACACTAATGGGCACTAGCAAAAAATTAAGGATTAAATGGAGAGGGGTTATTTTATTTATTTAACCCGTTCATGACTGAGCTAGTTTTCAGGTTCTGTTCATAAATGACTGACACATTTTTTACATTTTTGCTGTGATTCTTCCACAGCAGTAATATACTTTCTTACTAAATGTACCCACACATATTATATATTGTTTTTTAGAGGACAGATAGGGCTATATAATTATATCACATATGTGTACCTAACCCCTCACTTAGTTTGAAAATAAAAAAAATGAGGAAAAAAACTAGAAGAAAACACTTTTTTCACAAGTTTTGATTATTATTATTTTTTTTTTGAATTGTTTTATATTATAGTATAAAAAATATATTTATATATAATTAATATTTT